GAGGAGAAAAAGAAGCACCCACAAATAACTATGAAGAAAAAAAGGGATAATAATAATAATAGCTAACATTTAGTGAGTGTTTACAATATGCTAAGGATAGAGTCAAGAGCTTTAATGGATTTCCTCCTTATGAAGCAAATATTAATATCACCCTCCTTTTAAGCTAATTTACTAGTTTTTAGACCACTGAGTTAGTTAGTGGAAGAACTAGTTCCTCACTTCTGCCCTTTTCCTTGTTCCTTTTAGCCAAACCCAGGCTCCATACTCCTGGTCATCTCCGATCTGGTCACTGAACCATGCTGGACACACCCACTTGAGGCAGTAGGGCCCAGTGGTTAAGCACAAGGAACTTCAGTGACAGACATTCCTCTTTCACCACCACCTCACTTGCCCTCTGAGGGTGGGGTTGGGTGAAAAGTATGTTTTAAAAGTTCTTAGAGGATTTCAGTCTTAGGAAAGTTTTCCCAGAAGCAGATCCTAAAATGAGGAGTTACATGCAAGTGCCCTCAGAAGGCAGCTTTAGCCTGATCCCCACCAAAGACCTCTGGCTTTCACAGTCCCACATCTGCCAGCAGTTAGGATGTAAAACCCTTAGTTTTCCATGTGTACACCCATAGGCTGAAGGCAGACCTGGAGAGGCTGGATGCTGGAAGCAAAAGCACAGGAAGGAGGCTGGAGGCAGGGACACACACACACACACACACACACACACACACACACGACTCTGATGACAGGTAGAACACTGATACTACCTGCTCTAGAGGTGCATTGGAATTTTCACATGAGGGGGAAGGTGGGCAAGATGACCAGGTCATATCCCTCGCTCTCCCCCACACCCATTTGACTCCCCCATCCCTATCTCCAGCCCTACCCGACTCCTGCCCTACTTAAAGATTCTCCTGTGGATGTCAGGATAGCAACTGCTAAGAGAGAAGGACAGTGGCTTGAGGAAAGTGAAAAGCGGGTGCTGCAAGTGGATTATCTCTCTTAATTCTCAATCCCAAGACATTAGAATCCAGAGGGCATTTATTATTTTTTTCTTTTTTGCAGTGCTGGATATGGAATCCGGGGCCTTGTACACACCAGGCAAGAGCTCTACCATTGAGCTACACCCTCAGTCCTCAAGACCATATTTTCCCTGTCTCTACCCCTACCCCAGGGGATTGACACAGGGCCTTGGCACTGAACTACACACTCAGACCTGCTTTGTTTTTTTTATTTTGAGACAGAGTCTCACTAAGTCATTGAGTTGCCCAGGCTGCCCTTGAACTTGCAGTCCTCCTGCCTCAGTATCCCAGAATTCTGGGATTATAGCCATATGTCACCACATCCAGCTAAAGCCTGCATTGTTAACCACATCCCTATATGCCTCCTTTTATGATTAAGTGTACCAGTCAGAGTTCATTGAGCAGAACAGAATCATCATGGCTATTATGGGAATACAAAACTTATTTCAGGAATGAGACTTTACCCAAAGGTAGGGGGAGCTGGGGAACTGAAGGTCTTCAAGGAATTGTAGGCTAGAGAGGGGTTGCTACTATGTGGAAGACTAAATGGGATGTGTCTGCTGGGCTCATCTGTCTGGCATTGTATCAACTACAGAGATCTCCCTAGAGGACAAGTTGGTGCTTTCATTCTGCCTTCCAAACTTCACACCAGGTCCTCTTTTGGCCAACTCCAGTAAGAGCCCTGTTGGCAGATCATTCTGGAAACACACTTGCTAGTTTAACCAAATCAAATTAGCACAGTCCAGGACGATAGAAAATCTTTGATATAAATGAGATGTAGCTGACCAAAAGTCTGAAGAGTGGAAGAAAGTCATATTTTTGTTTATCTCCCATTTTGTTTTTGTTTTTGAGTACTGGGGGTTGAACTCAGAACCCTGCACTTTCGAGGCAGTTGCGGTGCCACTGAGCTAAATCCCCGGCCCTCTATCTCCCATTTTATTTTTTGGGGGGTACCGGGGATCGAACTCGGGTCCTTGCGCTTGCGCAGCAAGCAGCGAAACCACTGAGCTAAATCCCTGGCCCTCTATCTCCCATTTTAATGGCTGCACGGTGTTTTATGTAGTATTGGTCAGCCTTTAATTTATCACAGTAGCATTTATAAATATTTGAAAAATAGTAAAGCCTCCCTAGGAATACACAGAGAATCAGACACATAGTAGATACTCAGCAAATATTGGATGAATGAATGGATGTTGAGTCCTTGCAGGAATATCAACTTAATCATCAAACTCTGGCAGATATCCGACAGCACCCTTCCTATCCCCACCTGCCAGGAGCAGAAAGTACCTCATTCCCCCCTGTAAGTGGGAGGCAATTCTCTCACCAATGTGCCACTACTGTCTGTCTTCTTGCTGTCTCAAGCTGGGATGAAAACACTGTTTCCCACTGCCAGTAAGAACTGATCCCACCTTTATTTTATATTTTCCTTGTTCATGATTTCTTTAATTGCCCTTCCTCCTGCATAGAGGTGGAGCCCCAACACCGATGATTAGACCTTATCCCTTATCCCTGTCCACAGCAGAGCCAACCCAATTCTCCCAGGAATTTGGAAATATTTTGAGTCTTTATGCATGGTATAATGTATAATCAAACAAGCATGAATAAATAAAGGAAGACAGAAGAATCATTACTAATGATAGTATTTGGATAATTTACAAGCAATTAGGCAAACAATATTTTAGATTAATTTAGACTTATATAAATATAAGAAAAACTTTTTAGAAGCAATTTAAAGAATGAAAAAATATTCACAAAGGAGTCATATCCAAAATATAATATATATATATTTATATATATCAAAACAAGTAAAAGAAAACTAACAGAAAAATTGGTATAAAACTTGAATAGATCTTTCACAACAGAGGATTCTGAAATGGCCAGTACAAAGATGTTCAACTTCATTAATTATCAGGAAAATGCACATTAATCCTACAATAAGGCACCTTTACATCCAGCAGAATGGATAAAATGGGGGAAAAAAAGTTGACAAAACCATCTGTTGGTCAAAATTTGGAAAAACCAGAATTGTCAATGACGAATACTGGCAATGTCAATTGGTATAGTCAGACACTGTGAATTACTTGCTATTTGGGAATATTGATTTAAGCTGAGCATACATATAATTTATCACACAACAGTTCCATTCCTAGGTATATACCCAGGGGAAATGCATATTTTTGTTTACCAAAGACATGTACAAGAATATTCATAACAACACTGTTTATTATGGATCATATCTAGAAACTCCCAAATGTCTGTCAGTAGTAAAATGGATAAAATACATTGGGCTATAGTGACACGGGTATACTCTGTAGTAGTGAGTTCTACTACATAGAACATAGATGAATCTTACAGATAATATGTTAAGTGAAAGTACTTATTAATTATTTCATTTATATACAGAAGAAGCAAAACTGATCTTTGCTGTTAGAAATCAAGCTAGCAGTTACCTAGATATAGTAACTGTCAGGCGATATGGAGGGTTCTGAAGATGCTGGTAATACTCTATTTCTTCATCAGAATCCAGGTAAATGAAAGTTTTCAGTTTGTGAACATTTCATTGAACTGTTCACATAATATATATGCTCTTTTCCTCACTATGTACTATGCTTCATTATGAAGTTTTAAAAAATATCCTTTAGGAGCTCTAACTCTCAGGAACAAATTAGTTGCCTATCTGCACCTCAATCTACAATTTCCTCATTTGACCTTCACAATGACCCAGAGGTAGCTAGATCCTGAGTATGCAGAGAGCCTAACTTTTTTTGCATGAACATTTCCAAGTTTGAGTTTACACAGGCAAAGAAATGTAAGCAGTATTTTTACACAAAGGTGGCTGCAGGAGTGGGGATGGGAATGGATGGACTTTGGCTATTCTGATTTCCATCAGTGCCCCACCGTGTTGTCCTAAACAAATTTTCAATGTGTTTTTTAAAAATAACATGCTTATACAAACGTAACTTTAGCCATCTCATATAACATCAATATAAGAAAAAGGGATTATACTTTCTATGCAAACAGTTTCAAGACAGGAGTCACAGGGCCTTGCCCCTCCCAACACACCCTGAAACCAGAGCCTAGTCTCCTAAAACCTCCCACATGTAAGTGCTCCCAGAATGTTGTTTTGGCTTCTCCAGATTTAACTCCTGTGGTTTAAGCGACGGGCACTGGAAGTGAACTTCTGACAACACTTTGTAAATCATTACTTCAGATGACGATGGGTGTGGAGCTCAAATCCCTGTCTCTCCGCGGTGCACAGTTCATCGATAGCAGGATACGGGTTTTGTATACCTGTAAGTCTCTAACCCCCGCTTTTCATCCTTTCACAAATCTCATTCTGAACGCCCCCCGCCGCCCATCTCGCCCTGCACTTCACCCCGCCCACTGTTCACGCCCACAGAACCCAAAATGTCAGGTTTAAAAGAGTTCCAGTCACATCCTGAGCCTCCACCGCCTTTTCCGGATGGGGTTCTTTGGTTATTATGTAAATCAATTGAGCGAACATTTATTTATTCGGGAAGCAAAATAAAGGATGGGATGTAATCGATGAACTAATTTGTTAATTTATTCAGTAATATGCCAGCATTGAGCTGGGAATTACAGGGAATCAGAAAAAGTGATTTTCTGTCATCAGATTGTGTTATTTTCCTGCTTAAAACCCTCCAATTTCTTCCCATATTAGAATAAAAAATAGACAACAAACACCTGGGTGAAAATAACCTTTTAAAAAATACTATTATTTTTGTCTTCAGAAACGCAAAAGTGATGAGATTGTGGATTATCTCTCTTTTAAAATGTTATTTGTCCAATAAAGAAAAACAGAAGACCGGTTACCATCCTAGCAACTCCACTTAACAGCAAACTCCTCCGCACCCCTACACAAGACTTCCCTCTTTGAAACGTTTTGTACAAACATCGCGAGAAAAAACCGGAATTTTTCGGTCCCCCTCCTTCTCCCCCTGCTCAACCCACCCACTTCCTGCCTGGAGCTCACCTGACGTCAGAGGCGCGCCTGAGCGCGTGAACAGCGGTATCTAGGGCGGAAGTGCTTTCGGCGGAAGTGATACCTCCGCTAAGCGTGGGTGGGATGGCACCTGTGCGGCTCTTTCTAAGTCGGCTTCGAACACCCTTCATTTCCATGGCCCAGAAGTCACTCGAGGGCGTGCCCTCCTCCAGGGGCCTGCTCGCGGGGCGCGAGCCCCGAAGGCTCTCCATCGAAGGCAACATTGGTAAGAGCCAGAAAGTGGCTGCCCAGGCTTGGCCACCGCTAAGCAGGTGTTTGAGAATCTGGGAAAGGCAATTGGGGTTGGAATCCTCCCCTCGACCCCGGTCTCAGGAGACTGAGTGGCCTGCTTGTTCTGAGCTGTCAGGGCTCTTCTCTTCCCATAAAGCACTGTGGATCCTTGCCACTTAGACTTTTAGAACCCAACCCTCAGTATTTGCCCGAAGGAACACATTTTTGGGAGTGTAAAAGCCACGCAGGCTGTAGATAGGACATATTCTAGTAGTTGTTCTATTAGAAGGTTGAAATAGAAAGGACGAACAATACAGTTCATCTTTTTAACTGGATGCCCTGTATATATTCTATCTGGCAGCTCTAACTCTGAGAGCTCCTAAACTTCAGTCATTCACTTACCACTTTTACTGTTTTTGCCATGTCCTTGTGCTAGTTGCACTATAATCACTTTTAAAACTTAAAAGTATGTATTAAAATAAAAACAATTTTGTTACAAGAGACCCAGTATTTTAGAAGTAACGAAAAAGCAAATGAAAGCAAAACATTTTGACTTAATGTTACTGAATTCTGACTTGATACTTTGCCTAGCAAAGGCAATGAGCCATAAGGCACTGTTGAAAACTGAAGACATTCTAGAAGCAAGCAAAATTTTCATTTTATTCATTCAACAAATCACCCTTTTAGCAGCTTACATATGCTAGTACTGTTCTTGGTCCTGAAGATAAATCTGTTAACAGAAAAAATAAAAATCTGCTGTCATGGAATTCTAATAGGGAGGGAGAGAGACAATAAATGACATACTTTAATCAAGGTACACAGTATGTTAGTAATGAATATGATGGAGAAAGATCAGAGATGAGGGATTGAGGGAAGTTGTCATTTAAAATAGGGTAGGGCCGGGGATTTACCTCAGTGGTTTTGCCGCCTGCTGCGCAAGCGCAGGGACCAGAGTTCGATCCCCGGTACCAAAACAAAAAAAAAAAGTGTAGTTGGGCTGGGGATTTAGCTCAGTGCTTCCACCGCCTGCCTCGCAAGCGCAAGGTCCCGAGTTCCATCCCCAGTACCAAAAAAAAAAAAAAAAA